TTTTGTTATTGATTGAACTATGGAAGATGAACTTGCCAAAACTAGTGACAAGTTATAGAGCATTCCCAAATATGCTTTACTAATCTTTTGTTTCGAAATATTTATTGTGTTTTAGGGTGATCCGATCGATTGGGTGAGCACGCACAGGTGTCATCATCAATATGTTGATTCAGAAAGAGACCCACATAGTCCTATTTATGGATTCTGGTTTAGTCATCTGATATGGCTTTTTGATTCCTATAATTTGACCCGAAAAGTTTGTCCGAACTATTTCAATAATTTTCAAAAGACAGAAAGAACCGTATTTACATTTTTCTTAAAGCATGGAAATCCGAGCAATGTCAATGACCTGGAGAAGCAAGCCTTTTACAGGTTCATGCGTAGAACGTACTTTCTTCATCCAATTGTTCTTGGGATATTCCTATATGCAGTCGGAGGAATTCCTTTTATTATTTGGGGAATGGTAAAATCAACTTACTCTCCTTTTTCCTTTTAACTATTAAGTTGTAATTGGATTGAATTTTATTTATTTATTTATTTATTGCTTTAGCCTATATATATATATATATATATATATATATATATATATATATATATATATATCTTACAATAAAACGTAATAAAATTTTGCATTCTATGATAGATATATGAATGAAATTTTACATTTTTACCAGAAATGGAATATTATGAGATTTGTTAAAAAGTAATGGAAATGTGAAGCTTTAATTTTAAAAGTATTTGGAAATGTGTAGTTTTACAAGAATAATTATAAATAGTATAGTTTAAAAAGTAATGACATATATAACTTTTTTTTTAATTCGTGAATCACTTGTATAATATAATTATTGTTGATTTACATTGTTGATAATTTATCTAAATAATTTTTAATTATAATTATAATCACTTGTCAATCTAAATAGGTTATGATTATAACAATCACTAATTTCACAATATTTGATTCTAGTTATATGTGTTCGATTTATTCCAACCATGTGTATGATATACTCTTTTTTTTTTCTTTTTTTTGTAATTCCCTCTGTCAAATATTTTACTTACGAAAGTCTTTTGTGTTTTTGAAACTATTCGTAGTGCATGAGGGTCGTATTACTCTTACACGTAACATCAATGGTAAATTCAGTATGCCATATATGGGGAAAGCAACCGTGGAATACTGGCGATTTGTCGAAGAATAATTGGTAACACACTTTTCCAATCTTCTCTTTTGTTCCTCTACTCATTCGCAAGTAAAAGATGATTTTTAAAAAAAGAAGTGTTTGAAATTTAATTTGGTTCCTAAACTTCCATGCTTATATTGTATCGTGAATAATTTTTTAAATATTCTATTTAAATTCCTCAAAGTTTCAAATGTTTTATTCTAGCCGTTGAATTTGGTATAAAAAAAAACTACCGAAGTCGTTTTTACCATTAGTCTTCTGCTAATCATTTCAAACATCCTAATATAAAGTTTAAAAACTAATTAAAAAAATTTTAAAATTTAGGGCTTGTTTGGTAACGTTTCTATTATTTCTTATTTTTGTTTTCGTCATTTTTAATAAAGAAAAATGAATTGCATGACCCCAAAATCCACAAATTCAAATATGATAAAATAATCTTTTTATTTGTGTTTTTTGAACAAATGGAGAATGGGAACCATATATAAGAAACTTGGTTGTTTCCAAAATTTCTATACAATCTCGAGAATGTTCCAAAAAAATGATAAACAATTAATAAACATAGTTAGTTGCAAAATGGTTACACTTCTTAAGAAAATTGGAAATTATAAAACAATAAACTAGAACGTTACCAAACGGGTCCTTAGAAATCGAAGTGGAATAAACATAACCGTCGATAAAGTTTAAATCTTTTTTTCTTTCAGGTTTGTGGCTATATTAACCTATGGAGAAGGATGGCACAATAACCACCATGCATTTGAATATTCAGCAAGACATGGTCATCGATGGTGGCAAATTGACTTTGGGTGGTATCTTATTATGTTTCTTGAAGCCATTGGAATGGCTACTGATGTGAAATTACCCTCTAAAAAGTACAAGAACCAAAAACTCCTCCTTCTTAAGCCTATGATTGATAATTAAGATATGATTAACTTAATGATATGGGTGGTTGTTTGGAAGATGGTGTAATCCAAATATATTATTATATTAATAACACTACTTTTCCTTATTATTAATCCTTCATTAAGTTTGTGCTTTTTTATTATTTTGAAGAAAGAAAAAGAAATTCACTTTCCCTCTCTATGTTCTCCTCTACTATTTATCAAAAAAAATTGAGTAGTCGAAAGTAAGGGTGTATTTAGGAGTAATGATAGAATTAGTGATTTTGAAAAAAAAGATCTAACTATAATTGATTTTTTAAAATCTTTGACACATGACCAAAATTACTAACGCACCAGGTGATTTTATATATATTGGTATTATTCGTCTCGATAGAATTAGTCTACTTGATGTTCGAGATTATATTTAAAAAGCTTAGAACTTTTTATATTTTGGATAATATAAGAATAAATCATAAGGAAGATTAAATAAATATACATACTAAATAATTTTATTTATGTTCAAATAAATAGTTAACAGTTATAAGGTTTTAGAGCTTAGAAACCCTAATAAATATATAACATAATCAAACATCCACTAGTTCAAAATTCTACAAATTATAAGGTTTTAAAGCATAAACCCTAATGAATAGATAACATAATCAAATAACACCGGAGAAAAATCAAACGCAACACGTGGTCGTCTTCTTGCTAGAACACCTATATCCACTCTAAAGATGAGGAGGTGAACGGCCTGAGTTATTAAAAGTAGAGCTCAGCCCAGAGGAAAGATTCTGACCGATAGAAAAATTGTTGACATCGAAAAAAGACGATTCTACTGTTAGTGAATCTCCCAATCGCCAGTAAAAAACCCATTGAAAATGATAAGTACAGCAGGTCTTAATTGCCAATACTCTCCTCATATAAAATGCTAAGTAACACCTTAGAAAAAAAGGTACGCAATCTCTTGCGTTCTATCTAAGCTCAACTCACATCAACTCGGACTAAGTTCAAACTTAAACTTCAAAGTATACATGGTTAAGCATCACACCAGTGCAAAGTTCTGCCGGCACGTTGTACTTGCTAGCAGAGCCACACGTCAGAGTTCGTGTTGGATCACCGCTAACGTATTGCCTCGACTAGAATCACGCATCAACAAAATAAATTAAAATCAAGAGATATTTTTGTATAGATGCACATAGCAGATCATTCAAAAATAGTAGGGAAACCATATGACTGAAAGCAACTATTAAATTCCTTTGCCCAAAAAAATAAGCAAACTAATAGATTCATGTGCAGATCAACTGATCAAGTAAGGCTGGACCATAAAATTAAATCATCTCAATAAATTCTTACTGTCAACTCACATGCAGAAATTACTACTTTGAAAAGCTAAACCAACATGTAGGTCTGCCTTTATTGATGAACAACATTAATTGTCAATAAAAAAATTCAACCATATACTGACAATCCCATATTTATTTTAAATTATAATTATAATGGGTGATCAAATTGATATATAAAAAAAATGTAAATATGATAATTTTTTTCCTTTATACCATTTTCGTATAGCATTGATAACACGTATGTTATTAATATACCTGATAGAGTATTACTAATGATATTACTGATGTTATTTTTGTATCATTGATGTAGATATACCAAAAAATATATTGTTAAAGTATATAGCTGATATACAAATCTTACATTTGTGTGCCATTAATTTCTCACTTTTGTAAAGTAGATTTCTAAATAAAATCAAAAGAAATGTAAATTAAATAAAAATTTTAAAAAGTAAGGCAGCGTCTCAAAACTATTGACAAAAATAAAGTGAAAATTTGGTTAAAGTCAAGGGAGTTGCCACATGGAAATAGCTCAATTCTATTTTCCTCCGTGAGTCTCTTCCTTTCTACTTATGGTATCGCCCCTCCCTGACAGCATCTGCTAATTCGGAACCGAGTCGGATCTAGTGTATCATAAAGGATTTGTGATTTCTACGTGGGAAATCGCATACGATGCAAGCGATCTCACGATTTTTTTTTAATTAAAAACCTATTCGGCCATTCCTTTCCCACGGTTTCTCTCTTGCTCTCTCCCGTCCATATCTTCAGCCTCTAGCTGATAATTTATTTATTTTTCTTTTTATTGGTATTGGTATACTTTTCATTTTTTACAAAATGAATCACAATTTTGTTATGATTTTATATGTTATGTTAGGATTATGATTATGATTTTTTAAACAAATCCAAAATTTTCAAAAAAGAAAAATTATAAGCTTGGTTTTATTGCAATTATATTACGACAAATAAAAATAAAAATAATCAAATTTTCAATAAATTTCAGTTAGAATCCTTGTAAATTTGTGTTTAATTAACAAATATCATATTTAAATTAGGGGGGGTAATTAAAAATATTTATCAAAAGAAAAATATGAAAAAAAAAATAACTGAGTAAAAAAATAATTCTAGCTGTAATAAAAAGGCAACCATCTTTTAAATAAAAAAAAAATACATAAAGTAATTTTAGTCGATATATTAGTCAGAATTGAGGCTAGAAACTCTTTTTATTTACTTTTAACAATCTAATTTGAGCTGCAGGTTGTTAGGATAGTTTTATAGAAAGAAAAAAAACAAACAAACAATCTTTTACTCCTCCCTAGTTTATTTACGTTTTAGAATTTGATTTTTTCCAAAGAAAAAAAAAAGCACACAAATTAGATATTATTTCAAAAAGAAAAAAAGAAAAAAAAAAGACACCTGCTGGCATATAAATTAGATTCACCTTAGATCCAAACAAATTTTGGTTGGTTAAGATTATTCTTACAAAAACATTAGACCCTTAAAAATAATAATTAAAAAAAAAACTGGATTAGAAAAAATGATTCGCGCCAGATTAACTTCGACCGTGCCACGTGGTGTAGAAATCGCTGCCATCTATCGCGATTTCGGCTAAATAGCATCAAATGGATGCGACCCCAGAAATCGTGGCCATGGCCCGCGATTTCGCAAACTTATTTTTTAAATTAATTTTTTTACTACATTATTTCTGTAATATTTTCTTAAAAGCACATTATTTAAAAAAAAAAACAAAAAAAAAAAATCCGTCCCATAAAGCCAAACACAAAAATGGGGGTCCCATTTGCTCATTCATTGTAACGTAACGTAAAAGAAGAAAAAATGAAAGAAGTAACATAAAGTATCAATTAAAGTTCAACCATATTTTGACAATCCCATGTTTCTCCGAGGAGGAGGCCATCAACAAGCTTGCTAATTAAAAACATTAAAATGCCACATAAGAATGCATGTCTGTACACCGCAGCAACTAACAAAATTAATGTATACCAACTTTCAATCATAATTCAACCAATTATTTCCTATCACCATAAATTAAAGAAAATGGGTTCTAATTTTAATTTTAATTTCAAAGGGTAACATATTGATGATGTGACATTTTTCTTAAGATGAGTAAAAGATCATGTTGTAATTTTAAGCGGCTAGATTAAATCCTTAAAAATCATGTTGGGAAGTTATCGGGAGGAGAGCCACATCTTTATCCAAAAAAGGATCTTTTGTGTATAGTCCCGCATAATCTCGAATATTATCCGTTCCGGTGTCGAGCGTGTAATTTAATTCAATACAACGCGTAAAATCTTACCAGCCCGAGACGTCACCTTCAGTCTAGTTGCTCTAAATGATATCATTCACATTCGAAAATGACCGACTCAATGAACCGCCTTTGAGCAAGGTTCCATCTTTCTCGTTTTGCGTGCGGGTTTTCAGAGCATAAAATGAGAGTTGTAGCAATGAATGGCCATTGGAAAGTTGGAAGTTGGGAGTCCAGTGTGTTTCAGTATAGCCTACATTGAAAATCCATAAAGTCTCTGTCAAAAAAAAAAAAAAAAAAAGTGGCTTTTTCTTTAATTCATTCATTTTTTCTACGATTCTTTCTTGGTTTCCCCACAATCAAACCTCTACTTTTGGTTTGTTTACCAACTAGAACAAGCCCCGGACATGGAATGAGTGAGATTTCGGTAATTCTGCAGGAAATTATATGAAATTATACGAAATTATACAAAAAAAAGTTTCAATGTTATCCCCAAAAAGTTCACATTTTACGAAATTATACGTATCGACTATCGTTTCCAAAATTTTCAGATTTAAAGGTAGTCTTTCTAAAATTAGAGGTGAAAAGGATTTAAACAATTTGTCGCTTCGCTACCGGTTCCTAACGATCTACATAAACCATCAAGTTCAACACAAGTACTTTGCCATCTAATATCTCATTAAGTCAGAGTCAAGAACCCAGAAAATGAGATCTCAATTGAGAATATGTTTCTTTCTAATTCAACTAAAACCAAACTACAAACTCATTTACACACAGGTAATTCTGAAAAAACAGTGCCAAAAAGCATCTAACATATGATTATTTCAGTTCAAGCAAAAGAGAAACTTGAGAAGAAGAATCATGAGTTGTGACTTGTGAGCATCAACGTCATACAGATTAGTGAACATGGAATGAGTGAGATTTCGGTAATTCTGCAGGCTACTGCAATCATCTCTTTCCTGGGAATATAGATTTCGGTGAATACGTTTCCTAGAAGGATAGACAAGCATGCACAACATGGGTTCGGATAGTTTAAGGTTGTTCCAGCTAGGCACAAGATATGACCAAAATTGTAAAGAGATATTTCCCCGAATATCTAAGCTTTTCAAAGATAGAATTTACCGAATACTGAGAGGTGTGACCCGATCTATCGACTTATCTGGAGTTGTAAAATAGCTTATCAGATTTACTGTGTTGCGGCTATAGTTGCTTCTGACTGCCGGGAATATTGGGCTGCAAACTTTTGGAAGATGTTGGGGAATGAGGTAGTGGCAAGGCCTTCGTCGAAAGCTCGGGTTTTGACGTACCGTGTGCTTTCCTCTTTAATTGTTCAAGCATCCGTTGGGCTTCTTTAAGTTCATCTTCTGCACTTGAGCCATGGCTTTCCCAAGCATCAACCACTTGCTCTTGGAAATCAATTGCAAGGGCATAACTGCACCAACACACAGAAAAAGGATTGAATTAATGAAGTTCAAGAATGTCCCTCAATAGCCAATATGCTGTTGAGCTACTCGTGTGATCATTGAATATCTGTTAGAAAAGTAAACCTTTCTGCAACATTTTTGCATCATTCAATAACAAATGACAACATGCCAACGGCAACAAGAAAGAGGAAGGACTGGGAATGGTGTTTTAATACCTTCATGGTAAAAATCATCTAAAATTTATCAAGTCCGTTAGTCCCAATCACGATATAAAATTAGTTCCACAAGCAATCATCTCCAAAGATGACTTAGTTATTTCATATCAGGATATCTATAGTCCTTTTAATATTTATGACTGTCCAAGTCAATTCCCGTGCACTCAATTAATCTTGTGGGACAATTTTTTGACCCTGTTACATTTGGTTACCAGAAGAATTCGTATAGTGTTAAATCTCAAGTAGGTGGTCACCATGGTTTAAACGCATTCCCTCTAAATCTTTTACTTTTCTCATTGGTCATATTGACCACTTGACCAACGCACAGTGGTTAATATTCATTTCTTTTCCAAAACTAGACCACCAAGAGTCCTCTTCCCTGTAACATTTCCTATTCAAAATAATCATGAGATAGTCATCATTCCTGTCGGAGTCGAGTTTCTTCAAGATCACGTGATTGAATTCAAAGGCCTTCTACAGCATTCACGACCCATTAGGTTTGAAAGTTCAATTATCAGTAAGAGTCCTCAGGAAGTCTGTTAGACTTTTTTTTAGAATCTAATGAAACTCCATTTCTTCCTATAAATACAATTATAGCTATGTAGAAGCTACACTAAAAAGGAGGTATTGTCCGTTAGTAATTTCATACCATCAGTGAAATTGTTTCATACAAAAAAAAAAAACAATGCTAAAGTTTGATCATGACTTCCTTTGGAGGTTTGAACGTATGATCTTTAAGAAGAGGTATAAATACCTTGACTACCAAGCTAGGTTCAACTTGGTAGCTAGGTTCAAGTTAGTAGTAAAACATTATACGTTGTAAACAATGTAACAATGTCGCTAGTGATGGAGACGAAAGAAAAACTTGAAAGTAACCATACCTTCCCATTGCACCATATGCTTTTGAAAGATTCTGACATGATTCAATTGAATCTGCATGATGAGGGCCAAGTGATACGTCCATAATGTCCTTTGCCATTGCAAACATCTGCGCGGCCGATTGAGGTCTCTCGAGCTCTAGATATGCTGCCCCGAGGTTATTGTATATATATCCAACTCCAAAATGCTTGGAACCAAAACTCTCCTTCAAAGTCTCTGCTGCACCCTCCAAGTATGGAATAGCTTCTTGAACCTTACCGGTCAACAGTAGTAACCACCCTATTCTAGCTGAAACACTACCCTCTGAGTGTTGCTCTTGTGGAAGTTTCTCGAGCACAGCTAGAGATCTTTTCAATAAAGAAATCGCAGTTTCAAACTCATTCATTGTCTCATATTGCATCGATATTTCTGAATACGCCTCAGCAGCCTCCACTGGAGAAGTTGCTTCTTTCTTGTCAAAAATTCCACTAGCAATCTCCAAACATCTCTTTGCATCAGTAAACTTTTCCTGATTACACAACACTTTTCCCATTGAGATAAACACCACTGCCCGAGTTTCACTGTCTTTATCTGTACGTTGAGCAACATCCTTGAGAGTACTAATGGCTTCATCGTACCGACCCAGGGCAATTTGCATATTAGCAGCATCAATTTCCGCACAAAGCAAATCGGAATTAAGGCCCCAGTTCTTCAAAACCTTCTGAGACAATTCATTCTGCTCCAATGCCTTCTCATGTTCGTCCAACCCAGTATAAATCACCCCTAGAAGCCTCCTATCATGGGCTACTTCAACTGAATTATGCCCCAACTGCATCTTATGTATCTCCAATGCCTTCATACAAAACGGAAGCGCATCCCTGAAGTTCAAAATAGCAACATAAGCTTCCGCCAAATCACGATTCGCCTTCCCTAATTCTCTACTATCCTTCTCCAAGGTCAACTCCTTGATCTCCAAACACTTCCTAAGATTACCAAGAGCTTCTTCTCTTCTCCCCATTGCAGTCTTAACATTTGCCAACTCAAGTTGCACAGCATGAAGCACAGGTCTAATATCCTCAGCAGCACTAAACCCCTTCTCCTCTAACTGACTCAGTACCCTATTAGCCCTATTCAGGTACCCTAAACTATCACTAAACTTTTTCAAGCTATAATTAACAGAACCCATCAATTGCAAAGTCATAGCAACAAGTAGAGAAGGTTTACCACCATTATCATCATTGTCCAAAGCTTTCAAAGCTCTAGAAGCATACAACAGAGTCTTTTCAGGGTCCTCACCTTCTTGGTCAAGTTTCAGACCAATTTTCAAGGAAGCCAATCCAAGATCCCTCTCTTCAAAAGCGGATTCCATGTCTTTGAACGCGCTGAGCATTTCATCGACAGTGTTTGCAGACTCAAAAGCCTCCTCCAGCTCGGACTTCTCTTTGATTTTCCTCTGTCTGGATGAAATTTGAGGGCGTTTCTCCACAAGGGTGTCCAAATTCCGACATGGGTTTGCTTGGAAGCGGGTGAGTTTGAAGAACAGGCCATGGGATTTGGAGCAGGGGTTGAGATGGGCGGCGGAGAGAGGAGATGAAGAAGGAGGGGGAGAAGGGGGAGGATCGGAAATGAGGGATGAAATGGAGCGGAGATTCAGGCGATTGGAGTGGGAGAGAAGTGAAATTGAAGCCTTTCTCATGGTGGGACTGAAATTGAATTCGAAAGTCTGCTGCGCTTCGCCAGGTTTTTGGTTGTTCTGCGTAAACCTCTGCAAAACCCTCTCGATGATCCTTCACGAATCGGAGGTGAACTAAACGCCGTCGTTTTGCTGGATCCTACTGTTTGTTTTAACTTTTATGTACGGAATTAAATATCCGTCGCAGGTCAGCATCTTCTTCGCCATGACATGAATTAGACACGACATTTCCACAGTATTAAAAAAAAACGAAAAAATATAAAAAATATCAATTAAACATCGCCACATAATATTAATATTAATTCTTTTAAATTTAATTAGAAAGATTGAAATGTTTATTTGTTAATTTAGACATTTTTACGAATTTATTAATTTTATAACGTTTTCAAGAATATCATATCGACATTTTATCATTTCAAAAAAAAGGAAAAAAGAACATCGACATTTCTATAAAATTGAGATCTCGATATTTTCATCGACATCGATAATTAAAATATTTTTTTATGAATGTATTTCTTATTTTTTAAGATTAAATCTTATTCTAATTCTCGTAGTCAAGGTTTTAAATGTTAATGTTCATATATATTTATATAAAATTATAAAAATAAAAAAGTCAGGACTACTATTTAAATTAAACACTCTTTTTAAATAAGTTAAAAACTATTAATATTAATATTATGTCATATTATATTTTATGGATCCTTTTTATATTTTGCGAATTTTTTATGTAACACTGTGTCATTCCTCATGTCGAGGTTGAATTCATTGACATGTGTTGTTCAACAATAGTTGAACAGTAACAATGGTTGAAACTTAAAAAACAAATCAACGACTGTTAGATTTTAAATACAACATGTAGGAGTTAGAATTTGAATACACGACCTTTAAGAAATACATGTCTTAACTGATTATTGAATGATAAAATTTAGTCAATGATTAAATGTCATGTCATTATTTTAAAATTATATTTAAGACTGATTATAAAATTACACATGTCTTAAATTAATTTTAAAATCGACAAATTAAATTATGTCACGTGTTCCCCTATGGTCGTCTCATGTTCCCTCATTTGGGACATTCGGAGTGATTCAGAATGAGCCAGAAGAATTGGAGATTTAGAGTCCTCGGAGCATTCAAAGTCAAGCGAAGCATCAAAAGCCAGCAAGACTTGAAGAATTGAAAAGCAATAAGATTCGAAGATTTCATCAAGTTACGAACTTCATCTACTGCAAGCTGAAGAATTCGAACAAGATACAAGTCAAAGAACTTCACCAAGTTGCATAGTTGAAGAACTTCATCATTCATCAAGCTACAAGCCGAAGACTCCTGCGAATTTCATCAAGCTACGAATTTTGCCAAGTAAGCCAAAGAACCTCAACAAGCTACATAGCTGAAGAATTTCAACAAGTCGAAGAACTTCACAAGCTCAAAGCCGAAGACTTCAAGGATTCTTCAACAAGCTCTAAGTCGAAGATTCCAAACACTTTTCAACGAGTAATACGCAAAACTCATTGATTCGAGAACAAGTTCATAAACACTCAAATTAAAGTTAACATCCGAAAGAATTAATCAGATGATCATACATTAAAGATTGTACACTGCATATATAAATACAAATATAAGTTCATTAATTCAAGTATCTCTTATTTGAATTTCTTGTTGAACACCGATACGTTAAGGACTATTGTTGAACTTATTCCTTTTATATATATGTAACATACCTCCGCACATATAAATATTTGGCACCTAATTAAATTTGTGTATATTTAATTTATACTTTTAAAAGTTTTAATGAATCTCTAAATTTGATTTTGTTTATCTAGTCATCGTATTTTAAAAAAGTTTCAGTCTTTAAAAAATCTATTTAAAATTTAAATATATTTTGAAGTTGACTACAATATTTATTTGGATTGATTTTCAGTTAAAATATTTGGTGGGCTAATCATTAAAATAATAAACATAAAAACTAATAGAGTTAGCATTAAACTTTAAATACAAATGAAAAGTTCACACGGCTATTAAAAACCTTTTAAATTATAAGACTTATTAGGCAACTTTAAAAGTTTAGAATTATAATTTAATAGAATTCATATAGTCTATGTTAGAAAAACAAATGGTTTAAATCTTTTCTTTTTTCCCTTTACTTTCAAGTTTTATTTATTTTTACTTTGTAGGCTAATTATTCTAATCCCTGTACTTCAAAATTTCCATTATTTCTATATTCTTAAAAAATCATTTTGGTCGCTATTTACAAAATCTTAACTCATATTAAATATACCTGACAAAAATCTTTTAGTATAAAAATATTAAAATATCATTTTTTAAAAGTTTATAAACAAAAATAGACAAAAAAAAGAAAAAAAGAGAGGTTAAAAGTACTAGAAATAAATAAACATTTTAAAAGCATAAGAATTAGAATGAGTCCCACTATAAAAATAGGATTTAAACAAAAAAAAAATCAACTAACTATATATTCATAATTCTTTTAAAAGATTTAAATATTATTTTGGCCATATAATTTTGACTTTTGTATCATGGTTAGAAATTTAAGGTCCTGGCTTTTCCATCCCAATTTCAACAAAAACACTTTCATTCACCAAATATCTTTAAACGTAACTATAAATTTATATTAATAAATTTCCGTTGTTTATAAAAGTTTCTAAAATGAAGTTTTCACCCACCGTAAATTTGTATTAAAGAATTTCTGTTGTTTATACAATTGTGCAGAGAATGATGAAAAGGGTCACTTGTAAGTAAAAATCAAACCAAAATTAATCAAATCTAAGAATTTATGCACATGCTTGAATTGCAGATCATGAGCTCACTTTTATAATACTAAACAGAAGAAAGTTCGCCACAAAATCGAATTAAACAATTAGATAGTGTTTGGATGAGCTTCTTGACTTCGACAAGGGAAATTGATTGTTTGTTAGGGGCACTTTGGTAATTTAAGTTAAACGAGGTCTTATTTTGATTGCCAACTTTCTCATTTTTATTTGTATTATTTATTATTTTTTATAGTACAACACTCAAAGAATCGGAAATTCAAACTCGTGAACTCTTAGTTAGAGACAGATACTAATTATTATTGAACTAAGTTCATGTTAACACTTTCTCATTTATTCGTTATAGCAACTATGTATTTCGAATTTAAAAAAAATTATGTTTTGTACCCCATCAATTTCTTTTTATTAAATATCATATAAGAACGTAAATATATTTAAAATTTTTAAAATTGGACTCCTCTTTATTTTTAAAATTTAACCGTTCTAGCAACTATGCATTTTGGATTAAAAAATCAATTTTTGTACCCACTATCAATTTCTTTTTATTACTTATTAAATGAGAATGTAAATATATTTGAAAATTAAAGAATTTGACTATTCTTTACTTAAAAAATAAAGAGTATTTTTTTTTACTGGTTCTTAACCATTTAACGGTGGTAAACAAAACAATGGATGAGTAGTTAATAAGCACTCAATCTTAATAAGCACTCAATTATTTTTTACCCACTTTTTTCAAAACGTGCATTTTCTAATCCCAAATTACTTCACTACACTTCCACTTATTTTTAGATTTCTCTCTTATTCTCTCTCCCTCTTTTTCCATATCTTAAAAAAAGCACCATTCTTCCTCTCTCCTCATTTTTCTTTTCTTCTCTCTCATTCCGTCAATTTTTTCTCAAAACCCCAATTAAATTGATAGACACATTTTTTCTCTCTCTAAAAATGAAACAAAAACCCAATTAATTTCATAGACACACCTTCTCTTTCAAGAAATAGGATTTAAAATGGAATAAAATTCAATTAATTTCATAGATATACTTTCTCTCTCTAAAAATAAGATTTAGAATGGAACAAAACACAATTAATTTCATAGACACACTTTCTCTCTCTAAAAATAAGATTTAGAATGGAACAAAAACACAATTAATTTCATAGACACACTTTCTCTCTCTAAAAATAAGACCGTCTGAGAGCGAGATCCGATCGTCGAGAGCGAGATCTAGCCGTCGAGAGCGAGATCCGGCCATCGAGAGCGAGATACGACCGTGGGCAGCTCCGTTTTTCTTTTATTGGCCGCCAGTGGCTTCGCTATTTTCCTCTCGCTCAAAATCTCTAATCTCGATCTTGATCTCGCTCAAAATCTCACTCTCGCTCTCGATCTCACTCATAATCTCGCTCTCGCTCTCGTTCTCAGTCAAAATCAGATCGACTCATATGCAGAGGCTTAGAGAGAGAGAGGTGTGAGGAAGAGGAAGAGGAAGAGAAAGAGAAAAAGTCGCTATATTGAGAAATATTGGGTGTGGAGTGAGGGGTGTGAGGGAGAGAGAGGGGAGAGAGATAGATGTAGGCGTGTAGTGAGGGGTGTGAGAAAGAGAGGAAACCCTATTTTTCAAGAGAGAGAAAGAGGGTGTGAGGAAGAGAGAGGAAAATTAATTTTGATGGTTGAAAAAATCGAGAAATAATAATAATAAAAATCAATTCATCTCTCCTGTTCCTCTCGCTCTCACTCCTCTACCTCTCGCTCTTTCTCCTCTCTTCCATCTCTCCTCTCCTCTCTCGTCTTACTCTCGCTCGCTCTCCTCTCTCCTCTTCCTTTCTTCTTTTTTCCTTCTTCCTCTCTCCCCTCTTCTATTCCCTTCTGTAAGTTAAAGAAAAAAGAGAAGGAAGGGAGAAACCAAAACAAAATAGAAGAACGAGAAAAATACCCATTGGTTGCAAAAAGAGAAGAAAATAAAGAAGAGAAAGAATGAGTTAACGGAAAATGAGAGAGAAAAAAAAAACTGGAAAAAGAGGGAGGGAATAAGAGAGAGAAATCTAAACAAAAATAAGTGTGGTGTAAGCAAAGATTAGAAAACATAGATTTTGAAAAAAAATGAATAAAAAACAATATTGATAAAAGGCCTATCCAGCCGAAAAACCTTATTCTTTCTTCCTATTTTTCATCTCCTCCCTCAGATTTTTCATCCACGCTCTCTCCCTCCCTCCTCCCGTTGTTTCTTTCTTTTTCTCTCTTCTCAATCTTCCTCTTCCCAAATTATTTCTTTCTTTCTCTCTCTTCTCAATCTTCCTACTTCTCACATGATTTATTTGCATATGAAATAAAGGAAAAAGATAAAATTTTACGTTTAGTATTTTCCCCAACTATGTCACTCTCTCTTCTAAAACGAAATTTTCAGATTTCAAAAACTTTCCTCCTTCCCTCCTCCCAAAATGAAAATTTCCATATTTTTCCCTATCTCAAAAGAAATTGTAATGCTTTAGATTAGAGACCTAAATACTTAGATGTCCAATAAAATTGTCCAAAAATTTGCAAACGGTTGCTCTCTGACAATTGGATTCCGACGAGAGATATGGGTGCGTCTCGATCAATCGTCCAGAGCAAGAGTCTCGCTGGAGCGGAGAGAGACCACCAAGAGCGAGAGCGAGAGGGGAGCCCACCGAGCGAGAGTGGAGACCACCGCCACCGAAAATGAAGGAGAGCGAATGAATACTGAAATCAAGGGAGAGATTGGTTACAAAATAAATAAAACATTTAAAATTATTCCAAATATGTTTATATTTTAATTAAATATTTAGCGACAAAGAAATATTCTAAAAACATTAAAAAAAAATTTATTAGATATTCCAAATATTCTTTTTTATTAAATATTCCAATCATTGATTAAATAAAATTTTTAAAACTATTTCAAACAAGTCCAAATTCAAATTTAAAATAATTAAATATAAAAAAATTAATTGAAAGTTAAAATTATAATTGAAATTGAGCGAAACAAATCTCAATCAATCATTCAATCTCCTTAATTTTAGTATATTCAAATTTGAAATTTAATCCAAATTTGTTTCATTGTTTTCCTATCTAATTATTTGAACCAATCATTTGAAAAAGAAACAAATATCTCTCCTTTTTTTCTCTTCACTCGTTTCGACAGTACTCCTTTAATTGAAAATTGAAAATTTTATCCAATTAGGTAAAAGTGAAAAAAAAATCACGTTATTCACTGAACCATCCCATTTTTTCATTATTCTCACTGCTTCCTCTTTACCACGAAGCAATCGAAGATCTTTCTCGCTCGAAACTCTGGTCAGGTCTTGCTCTCGCTCTCGCTTGAGAAAAGAGATTGCACCAACAACGACAGTATATGTCGGAGATGATCGAGATGGCGGCAGCGAAACTAGGTGGTCTGTAAAGAGAACTGAGGTGGGGGCGTAAACGTAGTAACGAGGACGGTGGTGTGGTAACGAGGAAGAAACTTCACTGGAAGTAAAAATAGTGAGAGAGAGGAAGAACAATTACAGAGAGAGTGGGAGGAGACTCGAAGATAATGAAGAATTGAGAGAAAAAAAGGAAGAAGATGTAAAATAGGAAAGATGAAGAAGAAAGAGAAGAGGAGAGAGAGAGAGAAAGAAAGAACATGGAAGAGAGAAAAAGAAAGGGGAGGAGAGAGTGTGGATGAAAAATCTGAAGAGAGAGAAGAGAAGAGATGAAAAATAGGAACCATCGAGAAATATATCAAAGCAGGATGGGGAGAGGTATTCAGTCCAAAAGCCCCAATAGTAATTGGATCAGATGAACTTATTATCTATGTCACCACACACGTGGATATGTGGAATTTATGATCCATTAGAATTCATGTGGGGCCTCAATCAAGAAACACCTCACCTAGATAAAAGTGGATTGATTAAGGTTTTTTCTTGGCTAAGAGAATTTTCATTTTTTATTAAATTACTTTTTTGGTCTTTTTGACTTGTTTGACCAAATATTTAATTGGGAGACCACTTCAATTTCCTTTTTCTTATAAAATTTGCAACCATGAATCTCATTTTGCTACTTCAACTTACCAATTCTATTTTCATTATTATATCTTGGAATGTTCTCTGTCTTTTTCCTTTTTAATTTTATGGCAATTTGTTTTTTATTTTCTTTTTCTAAAGGATCTTCATTGTTCAAATTTGTAGTATGTTTTCATAATACAAATTATAAAATAAATAATATTTTAGTATAGGATTTTTTTATTTATTTTATTATTGTATTCTGAAACCGTCTATTTATCTGGTTCATTTTAGCCTACTCTCAAAACGTTTATTTCTCTTATTCATTTTAACACATATTTTATACGCACTGAAAATTCTTTAATATGATTTATTGCTGCAAGTTGTTTTTTATGATTTTTTTTTTCCGTTTTGAATCTTTTGCCACTTGATTTATTTTCAACTTTTAGTAAACTCCATTTCATATTTCTATGTACTACATTAAAATCTTATTTTTAAGTCAATGAAAATATGAGGTGGATATGGCAATATATATTCAAATTATGTGAGACGAAACGTTAGAAACCAACAACAAATACCACTAATTTAATGGACTTTAATTCTATTTAGACTCTTAAAAGAAAACATACATATTTTTCTACTAAATTCAATTCAAAAAAAGCAATGGACGTGCGAGTGGATGTAGACACTTACTTTTTAAAACAAAAATAAGAAGAAATAATATTCTTCCTTTGTTTATTTTAAACGTCGAAATCAATTGAAATGTTTAGGAAAATGTAGATATAAATATCAATAAAATACGTTGATATTGATGAATATTTTTAAAAATATTGTAAAAATTTAAATTTTAATAAATTAGCATTTTATCCCTTGTTAGATAAATTTAAAACTTTTGTCATTAATATAACGTGGATATTAATGATATTTTGTTGATATTTTTATTACTTCATCGCAGTAGGATGGAAATATTAATTCACTCTTTCTGTCAATGTTGAATCCATAACGTGTGGATGGAAATTTAATACTTTGCTCTCATTAAAGGAAATTATAACGATAAAGTTTTAATTACAATGATGTTAGAATTTTAGGATGGTCAATCTCAGTCTAGTTCAATTGGTTATGACATCTATTTCCGACAAAAAATTCATGAGTTGGAATTCTCGCCCGAAAAAAAGAGTTTTTCTTTTCTTGAATTAATTCTTTAAGGGCTAAACAAAAGCTCGTACTAAAGAAAAGAGACTAAATAGTATCTTCATTCTCAAATTTGTTCGTAAAAAAACATAGCTTAAATTATAAATTTTGTCCATGAATTTTTATGATTGTTTTCAAAGTTTATGAACTTCAAAAATTGAAGAATTTTCAATTGCATCATTCAACTATCAAATTTTATTCTAACAGATCCAACATCTATTAGCATTGTTACTTACTATGTGATAATTGATTGAATTAAGAAGTGATGATTTGATACGACATGCTAAATGGAGAGTAATGGAAAGTAGGAAAATGAATAAACAAGGACAAACGAGCACAAACTTTCAATAGGCTACGCGTGCATAACATATTTTAGACTTTTGGTTTTTTTTTTTTTTTTTGACAACTTCTTCCTATTTTCTTTGGTTTACCTATTCCCTAGTACCATACCCATAGTGTAATACTCACTTGACCAATTTGAGCATAATTTAATAGATTATAAGACACCGATTATCTTTCTTGAAGTTGAAAGGGTTCAATCTCCCAACATACACTTCCATTAAAAAGTCGTGTTACATAGATGTTTAAATAAAAAATACTAAAATACAAACTTGTTAGGTACTAAATCCAAAATTTAGATTTCATACACAGGATTGTTTTTTCTTTTAATTAGGATTATATTTGTGATTTAGCCGAAGAAATAAAAAAATATCTATATATATATATATATTTGTCGGATATAATATTTGTCGTTAGTGTGACAGAGAAGAGCCAAAATAGAAAGAAAGCATATATATAATAGAGATGAGGATCAAGCTTTTAAAGCATGATATCAGTTGATGCTGGCATTTTGGTAGACCGATTCTTTCCGTTCCGCGCACCAACTCGAATACTTCGAGATCAAATACCTGCAAAACCAAACAAAAATTCTAATTCGGTGTGACCTCAATCACACTGGCTCCGATGCCTAAGTTAACAAGAGGAGAGATCACTAAATCCCCCTAAGGTTTCTCAAGATGCCAACTCTAGATTTGATATTCGTGGGCTTTAGGTCGGGATACAAAATTAAAAAATCATAAAATTTATTTAAATTAACACCTAAAATCCTTGTTATTAAAATAATGTGTATATTTATTGATATTTTCCAACACTTGGTCAATTTTTTTACTAATACCATGAAAATATTGATACATTCCTACGTTAGATGTCATAGCAATATCAATATGTCGATGAAAATGTAATACTCGAGTGGTGATCCACGTCCTAATGTGTCTTGTTTGTGGTAGTCAAGAGAGAAGAATTCAACATTCAAGCCTTCAAGGTTCCTTTTTCTTTTATTATTTAATTATTATTATTATTTTTCCAAATCCATGTGGTGGCCTTGGCTGGTCAATCTGTGCGTCCTTTTTATTGATTTCTAAGATTCACTGTACACATGCATCTCCTCGACTCAATGATTTAATAAATTGACGTCTTTCAAATTTCAAACCGTCAATCACTTAAAAGAAAGAAAGATGTAAAGTAACATTATATGAAATTGACTTTTAATGTATTGCAGATGTGACAATAATATTAAGTGAGGTTATGTAACTTCTTTATTCTCTCTACCTCGACCCCCTCACCATCATCCTTGTCCGTCACCGATTGCTACAAATCGCCCTCTTTCTTCAACCCACACCTCCCACCTTTGTTGCTAGTGTAGGAAGTAGTAACCTAAAACTATCGTGGTCATTAATCGAATAATTTTGTAGATAAAGATTTTATTCAACTAACTTTGCGTGCACATGTGACTAAGTCGGAAAAACATCGTTGGTAATTTTTAACCACATTCAATTACAAATTTAGCCCCAAAATTTGTGTAATTACTAGGATTTGAACCGTCTCACTTGTGTTCTTTAGACAATAAATAAATATAATTGCTTATTTTATTTTTAATTTCAAACAAATAACAACATATTTCTAACGGTACACAAACCTACACAAACTTTTAAAAAAATATATATATGAAAAGAAAAAATCGAAAATTATAAAATCCCCAAAATAATTTCCCTTTTCTTGCTTTAAAACTGGTCACCATTTTCTTCAGTTCTTCCGATTGAAGCCGTCCCCTTCCGATTGCAGAAGCTCCTCCAAGAGCTCATTATCCAAATACTCAAACTCGATCACTTCGTCCGGTCGCCGGCAGGCATTGTTCGCGGAGTAATTTCCGGCGAAAGAGATCGAAGAAGACGCCGCCGCCGTAGCAGAGGAGCCAAACGCCGCCGCTAAATTAGGGTTTCCACTTTGGTACTCATTCGGAAAATTCAGAATCGCCAAATGCCCTCGGAATGCGTACGCCGCTTGATCGTACGCCCTCGCCGCCTCCTCCGCCGTGTCGAACGTCCCCAGCCAGAGCCGAGCGCCGTTCCGCGACGGATCTCGAATCTCCGCCGCGAATTTCCCCCACGGCCGCCGCCGAATCCCCCGGTAACGAGCTTCGTTCGACGATCTCCTCCCTAATTCGTTCCCTGCCGTCCTCTTTCCTTCCATTTTTCTAGGTTCTGTTTTTAATCGCACTGTGAAATTTTCTGAAAACAGAGCGCTGTGGAACAGGGGAAGGATTTAGGGCTTTTTGTTATCTCGTCTTGGATTTCAAAAATTGGACGCAAAATCTGGAGAACGGCGAACCAGGTAATGAAATCTGTTGAATTTATATGGAAATTTGGAAGATTAAAAACTGAGTCAGCCATGTTTGAAGGTTGAACTATTGTCGCATTTGGTGGGGGAAACTTCTGGGAAGATGAAGGAAACAGAGGAAATTTTGTTCGTCGAAAATTAAATGGATTTGATTTGATTTAAGCCGTCAGAGATGAACTCTGCAAGAGGAGTGGAACTTTTGTTTTTACTTTCTGGTTAAATTAATCTTTTTAATTATTTTTGTCATTCATATTTGTGACAGAACTATTTTATTTTTTGGGTTCTATTTATATATAGATAATATTTTCCCTTTTTTCTTTGAATCTACTTTTTTTAAAACATTGGAAACTAAAAAAGGCAGATCGTGTTTGATAACAATCTCGTTTTTTTTTTTTTTTTTTTTTTGGGAATTATGCATGGTTTTTACACGTCTTAAAATTACATTTAAAGTAAAATTTAGCTTAGATTATGAAAATCTTAAAAAAAAAAAAAAAAATAGTGGATAAAAAGACAAAGAAAACTCTGATGTGAAAGTTGAGTATATAAGCATAATATAAAAAAAAATGAAAACCCAAAACAAAATGGATGTTAAATGCTGATGTAGTTTCAAAAATCTTGTTTCTATTTTTGAAATTTATTTGAAATTCAGCTAAGAATTCAAATGATATGTTTTTAAGAAATGTGGAAAAGAAAGGGTGAGGAAGTGAACAAAGTAGAAAATTAAAAATGAAATCTTCAAAAGGATGCTTTAAAATTTGTCTACCAAGTCACTAAACTCAAATTTATATCTTATAGGTATACTTTCTACTTTGTTTCTAACAGATACTTAATTTACCATATAACTTTTAAAGTTTAAGAGTTAGTAGATACAAAATCTCAAGTTCAAGAACCGGTCACAAAATTGAAAGTTCATATACCTTTTTTAGTACAACATTGGTAGGGTGGAGATTCCTCAAGACCACTTAGTCGAAAATAGATACTTTAATTAGTTAAGTTATGTTCAGGTTGACGATGACGAAAATTCATATAATTATTAATGCAACGTTGAAAGTTTAAAAACTTACTAGACACCCTTAATAAAATAAAAAATAAAAAATAGTTAGCTGCTTATCAGTTAGCATAGATTGACCATCCTTCCATTTTTGACAAGTAGGAGAGAAAAATTAAGAAGAAAAATAAATTATTTCTATTATTCAAAAAATAAGAAGCTGTTAAATTCTTATTGAATAAGTGCTGATCGATGAATACCTAAATATTATTTTGGTTCTGGTTCGGAGGACGGATTTTTGAGGAGACTAACGTAAGAGAGGTGCATGCATGATGTCTATTATTGTTTATCTCCTGTGCAAATTATTCAAACTTAACTTTTTGTGTTTTTTTTTCCTTATCCAAATTGACTCTCTCTCTCTCTCTTCTCTCTTTCTCTCTCTCCTCTTTTCAAAAAATGGTTGGGAAGAGAGCTTTGACCTATTGGGGGTGAAGAGTTGGAATTTGAAAATATTTTCTCTCACAAGAAAGAAAAGTTAAGAAAATGGAGAAAAAAACACTCAAATCTGGGAAAATCTAACTAGGGAGCATCTGTTCTTGTAGGGTATTATTATTTTATTACACACAAAAAACGACTTGGGAATTAGATCATTTTCTTTGCAAAATTATTATGATCGCATATGGCATCATGGTGATTTTGGGAGATCTCTATTGTGTTGTGTTAGACCTCTAAAGGTAGAAGAAGATTGTGAAGTTAGGAATTCGAACACGGGTTTGGCGTCGGCCTAGTTGACTTGTGATGATCGAGCTAGACACTGTGTAGAGAGTAGTAAGCTTGGACGCATGGAAATACTTATTTTTTTGTGACACAATTTTGTTTATGTTTCTTGTTTCTAGAGAAATAAAGTGTTTGATAACTGTTTCTTGTTCCTCATTTTTAAGAAATGTATATTTTCAAAATTGTGTAGAAGTTTTAGAAACAACACAATCAAAATTTTTTTTTCGATTTTCAATTTTTTTTCTACCAAAATATAAATAAGAGCATAATTTTATTATTTTTACTTATAAAATACATAATAAATATAACATAAAAAGTTTGAAAAATTAGCTTTCATAAAACTTTTTAATTTAAAATTTTTAGAAAACAAATGGTAGAAATGATTGCCAAACATGTTTATATGTGTTTTTTCTTTAAGAAGAAAGAACAACAATTCTAGAGAAACCAGAAACATAAAACAATACTCTTAAAAATTGGCAACCAAGTTTATGGGCTTCAACTTTGGGCCTAGTTTTTTTAGGAAAAAGGTAAAAAGAAACTTTGGGCCTAGTTTAGCCTATACCCAAATCGCATTTCAAGTTCATTGGACTTGTGCCTATAATCTCTATTTTACTGGGGCAAGTGGCAAGTGCAGGAATGACCAAATTTAATAATTCGTTTTAAAAAATATCTAAACCTATCTGATATTGCAATAATGGCTAAATGATTTTTTTTAAATACTGAAAAAATGTTTAGACAAATATACCCTTGTAACAAATTAGGTATATATGCATAATTTTAGGGATTTAAGATTTTTACGAA